TTCGCGGGCACCCAGGGGTGAGGTTCTGGGCCCAGTTTTGAGCAGCGGCCTTAGAGCCATCTCAGCGGGCAGCCTGACCTGCGGCCCGGCCCGGGGCTCCAGTGCCGCCCTCCCTCATGGCCAGCTCCCTGATCCCCTGCTCTCCTTGGATGCTGGGGAAGAAGGTTAGAGCAAAGCCTGGCCAAAAGGGACTGATTTTTTTGCATGGCCGTTTGCACTAATCCCGAAATCCCCTTTTAAGGGGAGAGGTTGAATAAAAACGTTGCAAAACGTGGAGTTTCCACCAGAATGAGGATCCCGAGTCTCAGGGAACTCGGGGTCTCTTCGGTCTGCACCTCCTCGCCCACCCGGGCGCAGGTTTTAACAGGCTGTTCAGCCATTTCAGGCAATGCCTGAAACCACACACTCAGGGGCACTGAAAGTAAGAGTCTCCCGGATGCAAATCTCTAACAACAGATTGCCTCTAAAACTGCTCTACCCTGGTAGCACCTGGCTCCTAATTTTGGTCTTCACCTCACAGTTATCCTGCTTTAATACATACACGTAACTACGCTTGCTGTGCCGCTTGGGGATCTGTGACTAGCTTGGTTCATTTTACCTTTCTTTTGTGCAACCACAGTTGCAGAACTATGTACCGTAGGTACAGCATTACTATTATTATTGCTACTAGTATCTTTTGGCAAGCACTTTCACAACAGCACTCTTCCAGGCATGTTATTTTTACTGAACATCCAAGATTTACTTACAAAACCCCCTCAACATTCAGGGTACCAGAGACCTTTGCAACCGATTCTTTTGGGCATCATGGACCCATGCAATAATTCCGGTCTACTGATATAAAAGTCCCATCCCTACTATATAGCTGCCGCTCTCCCATCACTAACACACTGAATAATGTAGCCTCTTGCTTCTTCTCAGGTGCAGTGTGGAGGTATTTATATTCTACAGTCTTGGGTGGGTGTTCTTTTAATCATTTGTGACAATTCCCATCTGCTTATCTAATAACGTCCCTCTAATAATGAGGGTCCTCTTCTTTCTGCAGCATGGGCCAAATTAGTGCAGCGTGAGCGAGCAGTGGAATTGAAAATCCAACAGCCGCCTTACATCAGCTTCCTATGCAGAAACATGTTTGCCACTGTGCAAGTGCTTTTTTGTAGTTTAGCCCGAGCACCACGAGATAGCAAGCCCATTTATAAAAAGCAGCTCAGCTGAAGCTGCAGCTATAAATAGAGCCGCAAGAAACCGTTCGCCAGAAATCTCAACTAAGCTAGGCAAGAGCTCTGAAGTCAGATCTGAAATGTTTCTCCCCAGTTTTCCTTCTACTGTTCACATGTACCTCATTTTGATTAACATTTAAGATGGCATTAATTGAATTGCACTGTCTGGATGCAATTCAGATTGTCAGAAATACTGCTGGATGCTTGTTACAGATTTGTCCTAAACCACCCATTTGAAATAAATTAAAATGATAGTTTTCAGTTCATTTTTCCTTCCCAATGAAGGTATAAATCCCTTTAGAATTATTTGAATCTTTCTTACAAAGGCTTTTTCTTCCTGGTCACCTTTTGCAGACTCTCCAGAAGCAGGGTATGAACGCCCAGTTTTTGGTTTTGTTCCAGTTACAACCAGACTTAGATCATACGCTGCTACTATGCTCCTGTTAAGTGTTCCCGTTACAGAGTAGCACTGGAGGTCAGTCTGTTTCCTTAGTAATTTAAATATGAACACGTAAACAATTGTGGGAGGGCGATGGAGCAATTTTAATCTATATGGTTAAAAGTAAGCATTCAAATACAGCTGAGCTCAGAGACCAAAGTGTTAAAAGTTGTTTTGAATTCAGTGTCTTAAGGAGGAGAAGTTCAATTGCCTGCCTTTTTAGGGATTAGCAATACTCCCCTCAGGTTCCACTGCTAACGTTCCTGAATTTCGAATATGTTGATATGTACTTTTATAGTCATAAAGGTGTCTCAAAGGTAGGGTCACTGTTCTGAAATGTCAAACCGGCTTATGGAATAACTTTGCAAGAAAACTCCTAAAAGGAATTTGTGAAGCAAATGGTAATGGGGGCGGGGGGGAACGGGATGGAGATGACAACGACAGGAGGATGGAGACGGGACAGACACAAGAGGAAAAAGGACACGTAATTGGACAGGTCATTGATACTCAGAAAAACCACAGTAGCTGTTTTCTTACTGCCTACAAGCTGATGAACCTGTTTCAAACTCATGTCACTTAGAGCTGAGATAGCTAGTCTCAAAGTAAGGCTTAGCAATTCCGTCTCCTGTCCTTGCTGTTTGACCTCAACACGTATCAGATTGCGGTATGTTCCTGACCCTCAGCTGATCCACGAAGGAGAGACAGCCTTTGCCAACAAATGCTGCATCCGACGGCCCTTGAAAAAGAGGCTGAAACAAAAATGTCTCAAACACTCTGTCCCCTTTCCACTACCGTAGATTTGGTCCAAGCCAGTCGTTTCACACAAGTGCTTGTTTCTTCCAGACCCTGAATTAGTGACAGACTGCCCATCTCAAACAGGAAGGCTCTTCAGAAGTTTTCTGAAGGAGACGGAGACAACTGTACATCACCTGCAGAAGTCAGCACACCTCTTGCAGTCTTCAGGGGTTTTCTTTCTTCATGAGCTGCTCAGTAAATTTTTTAATTTTCCCCGAATATATCTCTTGTTTCAAATAATTCTCTACACAATTACTATGACTGAGCCTTGGTCTGCAGATTGCAAACGTCTCCTGGTTGGCCTGTGACTACAATTTCAACTGCTTGACTGGAGAATTAGGCTTTTCAAATAACTATAATTATTTTTATTTTAATAATTTAAAACAATTATTAAATGATAACTGGTTAACTGATATAATTTCAATTATTATTTGTATGCTGACTGATATCTGCTGAATGGATATTCCAATTCACCAAGTCAGATGAATATTCTGTTCAATAACCCTCTTGGTAAGTAGAGTAATACACAATTTCATACATGAGGTGGACATTACTTTCATAACAATTGTTATTTGCAACACTGTTTTGGAATGCAAGCACGAAACTTTCTAGTCCAGGAATGTCAATCTTTCAAAATACTTCACATGCATTTTTTCCTGTCAAAACTGAGATTTTCATGAAGAGCATCTCAATGGCTACATATATATTTGAAAAATGCTCCATCAAAAAATTTCAAACAATTCTTGGCAGAATCTTTGTTTTGAACAGTGGCACCCTACAACATAAAGGGGTTCATATCTTCATAGTTGCAAACAGGATTAAAATATCCTTATCTTGCAATTTGACATATTAAAAACTAAATTGACCTGAATAATTCCTGCCCCTAAATTTGAAAATGTTTAAAATTAATACATGGCAAACTTTAGGGTGAAGCAGCTACAATTGATTTATACACCACTTTTGAGAAATCCACACAACTTTGAAGTACTTCAAGGAACAAAAATACTCTCTTAATTACATGTTTTATTTAAGGCACATATATCTCATTCCACATTTGTATCCTCCCCAGACTCACTCCACTATTTTAGACAAGAAAGGAAAAATAAAACTAACAAGACCTAGTCTTAAAATTGTTTGGGGTCTGCTTGTAAAACGTGTTGAAGGGTAGTATCTAGGTCAGGTGAAGGAGAATCTGCTATCTGAAAATGAAAGATTTATCTTCAGACAGAAGTACAACCAAAAGGAAAAAGACATATCAAAGGAGAAGGTAACCATTGCTTTTAACAGTAAATCTGCTGCTATATAAAGCGTCCTGACAACGTAGCTAATTTTCTGTCCTGAAAATGAGGAAAATGAATATGAGGTTCTGAAAACAAAACAGGACAGACTTTCAACAGCTCTACCTTCAGATGCGCACAGCTGCCGCTTTAGAAACAAGCAGGTTGTTATTATCCTACCTGTGCCTCAGTAGAAAAAGGGAAGGTCTGTAGATATTTTACAAAACAGAGGAATCATAAAAGAATATAAAGAGAATAAAAAATGCTTTTCACACAGCATAAATACGATGCTAATGGGTCTTTTTAGAAAGAGCAGCTAAATAGCATTAATTTACAGGTAATCCCAACTACTTTTGTAGTTAACAAAAATATCTGCAAGTCTAATCTTTCTTCCTGTCCCTTGGTAGCCCTCCATAAATTGGAGCAAAGCATGGGTTTTGGAAAAGAAATCCAGCAGGCTCCCCAGGTGTTCCCATTTGGATTTCATTTTCCCAGTCCACAGTGAATCACTCTTACATTGGTCTTTCGGCCGCTGCCTCATGGTGTGAAATACATTTGCACTGTACTTTTGGAAGTCCCATTCTTTGTGGTTTGCTAGCGACCTACGAACTACGACACCAACACGGAAGGCGTAGAACTTGAGCCTTACTGTGATGTAGAATATATGGCATCTCGAATACTGGTTTGTATGGTTATCATAACGCTTTTCAAGTTGCACACCGATATGTGAGCAGTGTTAGTTATATCCAGTTATTGAGGCAGATGAAATTGCTGCGGGAGAGGAAGAAAGAGGATACCAGAACTCTAGGTCAATCCAGACAGGGGAGAAATAAAACAGTATAAACAGTAGATGTAAAATGCATTGGAAGACAAAAAGTTTTTATTGGATACAAATAGCTTCTCGGCACTAGAAAGATAATAATAATAATCAGTAACTGAAGGCTGGAGAGAGGATGGTATGCACCTTTCTTTGTCTGGGCATCATGCTGCATGTATAATCATCTTTTACCCGCTTTCTTGTTCTTTAGCAGGATTTGGCTGCAAGAATCTGAATGCAACTACAAAATGAGAGAACACCAGTGAAACACGAGTGGTCTGAACAAGGGCATTTTCGACATGCTCTTGGAGGGCACATATATACCTTTCTTTATATTTCATTGGACCGGTCAGCTCACGGCCATTCAAATGTTTTAACGTTTCATGGCTTACAGAAATATAATATTGTTTAACTTTTATAAAAATCAAGGCTGTCGAGTTAGGTACAAGGTTTGCTGCTGATGCCCAAAGTGTGCAAGAATACAAATGAAAAGCAAAATCCTGAATGTACAGGTTATACCTGAAAGCTGCACATAGATACAACAGTACAATATAATCAACTTTACATAAAGGGTTTTCATCCACAGTAAGAAACGGTTGCTTTGACCTGTGATAATACCAGAATGAGTTTAAGGGCCCAGATTACATTCAAAGTCTAAGAGATTTTATGATTTTTTTTAATTGTTCCTAGGAGAAATTTATAGTAAGTGGAGAGGAGGGTTTTAGGAGAAGCCTTAAGCATAGCTAAGTGATAGCTTGTTTTGGGTGATGACAGGGACATTGTTTCTGCTGCCATGTGAGCTATTTGGATAGTCTTTCATTCCACTGGAAAATATTTGGCTGATTAATTAAAAGGAAGAACTCATAAAGGCATAAAAACATTTTAAATGAGATTTTATTAGCCTGACCACCTATCTTGAGAGTTACTGATCAAAAGTCTCCAGCTCTGGGTGAGATGACAAGTGTGTTATGTTGGATATTAACTGAAATAACTTGCCTTTTGCTTTTAGACTAACTTAAAGGGATCAAAATTCAGATTGGCTATTTTACTGCAAATGTAGGCATTTGAAATCTACTGCCATTTCAACTTGCTAGCAGGCAGATGGCTGCTGTGAGTAAACCGTGCCACACTCGGTGAGACTGTGGCCTGATGCCAGTTATTTGTGACCCACAATTCTGAGAACTCCTTCTGAAAGGACACCAATGCATGTTTCATGAATGAGAAATCTGAATACTTATTACATTTCAGTAACATGCCAGAGCTAATAGTGCATAAGTTGACTTCTATATTCATACGATATCAGTCAGAAAAAAGTCTTGTAATTAGATGCTATTTTTTAAATAGGAGGATTTTATTAATCTTGGTCTTGTTAGGCTGTTATGACTAAAAGAATATGTTAATTTCAAGTACTGATAATAGCAAAGCAAAAATTAATCTTTACTATCTGTGCTTCAAAGGAACATAGACAGTACAATTACCTGCTTTTTCAGTCTTCCACCTGGCTCATCTATGAAACTCTGCAAGTGTGATACTTTTTAATTCAATGGGATTTAAATGGATCTCGAATATCCACAAAATAGCGTTTTTTGTATCTTCTGCTCATACTCATGTCCTGATAAGCTAGATTATTTTAAATATCCCATGAAATCAGGCATTGTAAAGGTTAAGTGAAAGGCATGCAAGGGCAAAAGAAGTTGTCAAAGTGCAAAACAAACAAAACATTTCTTCTCTTGTACAGCTTCTCCCAGTTATTGTTTAAGCATTGCAGGCCAGTTGCAAAGTAGCAACAGTGCTACTGTCTCCAGCATCCCCCACTTTGCTTGTGTTTATGGATTTGAGGTGAGTCTTCTGTATCGCCTGGGGAGTAAATGACTGCAAAGTGCCTAGGATGCCACCCAAGACTGAAGACAATAGAGGTGGTTCAATTTCTGAAAGGCAATAGCAAGTCTAGCCGGTATTAGTGACCGAGGCTATTGAGATAGCTGGCCATAGCCTGCCTCAACATCTAACTGCTCAATAAAAGGCAGCAGTGACAGCAGCAGAGGACGCGCAGGTTTAGAGTGACAGAAGCCATGGAAGGAAGCAAAACTAAGAGACAGCAACAGTAAGACAAAGTACATATAAACTTTTAATGAATTAACCTTACAAAAGACAATAGCTTCAAAACATTTGACACGTTTGTACAAAACTATTCCAGCATTATTAGCTCTCTCTTCAGAAAGAATGCCAGCAAGCCACCCAACGTGTCCCTGGCTATGAGATGCAACTGGTGATCACATCCAAATCATGTGTGGACAGAGTAAACTTATTTACAAATACTGTATACTTTAATACCGGATTAGTAGATGCTATTGGGGAGCGACTGTATTTTCCAGAAAACACCATGCATCAGGAAATAGTATGCACCCCTAGCTTTATTGCCTTTTTTCCCCACATTTGTCACTAAGATATCTTTTTAGTCCTTTCAGGATGAATCACCTCCTTTTAATTCCTATTCCTTCTTTTCTTGTCTTTGAATAACAGTGCAAGTTGCAGTACAATCTTCTAGTCCTATAGCGTACATCGCAACGGTCCTTGAACATAGGAATATCAAGGTGCAAAATGATGGCTCATGGGACTATTCTGCAGCCATATTAAAATAAGTGCCACATACCAGAAAATAGCACGCATGTTAAGGGCCAAAATGTAGTTAAAAAGTGCGTGATACTTTCCTGAAAATATGGTATTGATGACACATACAAGCATTCTTCAAGATGCCACGTTCCCTTGTGAAAGGGATCTTGTCATTTCAGTATGTACAAAATATGTCTTCAGTTCTCCTTTTCCTTTTACATTTATTATTCCTCTGCAAGTGCTCATGTACCCCAGTGTTTGCAGGACGTTGTTCGTCTCCTCTGTAACCTGCAACAATACAGTAATACAACCAGCGTTGATAACAGAGCAAAGCGGAATCTTCTTCCAGAGTGTGAAAAGGACGTATTTTCTGAGCAATGATAAAGGTTTTGCTATAGTGCTTATAAGGCCTTTAAGAGTCTCAAGTGAGGTTTGAGCACCTGAGCTTTCAAATAGTCTGTTGCTGGATGCCCATTCTAATCGCTCACATCAAGTATCAAATTGGGTATAACCATTTCCATACTTAGGATTGCAAACAGAGCGCTCGTAGATACACAAATGGCACTAGGGACAACACTCTTCCTCATATAGCATTTTTCTCAACTTCAGGAGCTGTTTTCCATTTCAGTAGACCCAAGCTTCCCCATCTTTTTGCAAATGCTAAGGCTGTGTGAATGAAGAGGTAGTAAGACACTGGCATCATCTGTCAGAGCTGCTGTTGCCAGTTTCTCACATAACTGGCAGTGAACCAAATCTTAGGCAGTTCTGCCATTTTAGGTGAAAGCCCGCTAGGACAGAGGTGGTTCAACAGCATCAGTTGCCTCAGACTGTGTTTCTTTGTGAAGCAAGCAACTGTTTGTAGATGTCATTGCTTTGACATCCCTTCTGTTTTCAGTTTTGACCAACAGTTGGTAACTACTTTTCCATTATTTAGTTCTGAATAATCTCAGTCATAGATTTGGAGTGCTCTCAATCACATGCTGGGATCCCAAAGTGCTAGGCAGCATGCTAGCCAGATACTTAAAATGTGATCCCTGAATATGGAATCACTGGAAAGTTACTAAATTGAAGGTCTTTTCCATACAGGTCTATCTATAATCTAAACAGATAATAATCTATAAAGATTATTAATCAGCATGGTTCCTTAAAAAGGAAGTTTCGTGATTGCTTTATGGATTTAACTTGATGTACAGCAGTTACAGTAATTTCCTTTATTTAAAAATAATTAACATCAGG